GGAGGACAGGCTCAGTGAAAGAGGAAAGAAAAAGGAGACTGCGATGTGGAGAGGAGGACAGGCTCAGTGAAAGAGGAAAGAAAAAGGAGACTGCGATGTGGAGAGGAGGACAGGCTCAGTGAAAGACGAAAGGAAAAAGACTGCGACGCGGAGAGGAGGACAGGCTCAGTGAAAGACGAAAGGAAAAAGACTGCGACGCGGAGAGGAGGACAGGCTCAGTGAAAGACGAAAGGAAAGAGACTGCGATGCGGAGAGGAGGACAAGCTCCGCGCGCTGCATCACGCGTCTGGGGAGGAGACGGTACGTTTAACGGAAACTGATAAACGTTATGTAACTAATGGCAGGAGAAACGCCTAGAAACGCGGGACACAGCGGGAGCGGACAGTGACCGGCGCTGCGTAAATTACAGCAACATTAACCAAGATAATAGACAGGCATACAGCACAGGGTCGGGGCGCTGACAGGGACATCCGGCCGCAGGCAGAAACAGGTTTGTATTTCTGTAAACGCATAAGATGTCACACGGCTCACTAAAAAGCATCTATCCACCCCGCAGTGTCGCCTTTATCGTATTAAAAAGGGCAACTTTAGCATTACTATGTTTAGTTTAGCGTTACGCTGCGGGCGGCTTCCAGCACATTCGCCCAAGCCGCCAACGGCTCCGAAGCCGCCCGCCCCTCGGCTGCGCACGTACCATGTACCAAGTGCCAAGAATGATGGTCCCGGTCCGAACGTGGCAGCAGCCGCAGCATCGTGTCGAATAAAAGCGGCTGCGACTCGGCTTGTAGTGCGCACCACTGTCAATCTGCGGGAGAAACATCGCGCCCGACCTCGCCAAGCGCCGACTACCGACGGCTGGCCAAGTCTGCTGCGCCCCTACCGGCCGCTGCGCAATAAAAAAGTCGTACGCCCCTCCGGCTGATGTCAGCGACAGGCGGCAAAGATAGCCAATGGTAGAACAGCTGGGGTGGGGTGGGCGTACGCTTAATATTGATTGACAAGTATATGCGCAAATGAGCAATTTCTCATAGATAAATAAATAAATCACGGAAATGGTCTACGCTCGACAAACAGCTCCGGTGGCCAATAGACGCCTAAGAATAAAGGCTGGGCCCTAGGTTAGTGTTGATTGACCTAAAGAGACGCGAATGAATACTTTCGAATAACAAAGGAATTTTCTTACGCCCTTGTTTTTGGTCGTCGATTGGAAATTATATGGAAAAAGGTTTTAGTGGTACACCAGTTATTGTCATCTAGTGTTTTAACACTGGGCATAAAGCCGACTGTCAAACCTGGAAAACGAAATATGCAGCATTTCTTACCATTGGTGTTCCTTATATATAGCGCTTATATGGCTGTTACATTACTTTGTGTCTTCATCATGTGTTGTTGTGGGTAATTATTTATTTCCATCCTAGTGACACGTTGACTGTAATATTTTTATACCAGTCACACTTTACTACCGCCGTATATAAAAAACAGAAGCTAGGCTGCTAGAAAATGTAAATGTATTTTCGATCGTCAGAGATATTCTTGTGCAGAATGCAGAACTGGGATGGCGCCTTGGTACGACTGTCTGTCAGATTTTAATGCGCACACTGGCCTCAGCTTTACTTTAAAATGGGCACAGCGTTTGACCTACATACTGCAAGCAAAACTGAAAATGAGCGCTGTACTTAACGGTGACCAGTGAGAAGAACCCAGTTTCAGAGCTTAGTTTCCTACGTTTAAATAATCCCATTTCCGCCAGTTCACACACAGTTTACTAATATATCATATTGCAATAAAAATAGTGACATTTCGGTAGATTCATGTGTATATATCCCAGATAGCACACATATGTTGAAATGACATTGATTCAATATAAGACAAAAAGGTTGAAACAACGTTGATCTTCAATCTTTCGTTTTATATCAACATTGAATCAAGGTTTTGCCACCATCAGGTTCTCAATATTTGAAAATCTGACCAAAAATCAAATGACCATAATTCAAGGCATTTAACTATAATTGAACGTTGAAACAATAACATGATGCTATCTGGGATATATATTCACCCAAGACGAAATATTATCGTTCTCTGTTATACATGCCATCCTTCCTTCTATCAGCGCGTGTAGATTCAGGTAGCATAGGGCGCAGGACGCAAACACATTGCAATGCAGAGACACCAGTCAGCCAGATTATGTCCTTCGACTGTGGGGGGACACCGGAGTTTCCAGGGAAAACTGTACAACACAAGGAGAGCATGCAGGATTCACGACAGTGCTATCCGCTCAGCCATTGTGATGAAAAGACGTTTTATTTAAATAAACGTAGCACCAATAACATTTTTAAACTTTCTAAAACTTGGTACAAGTAGTAACTTAGTATAATAATAGCTTCTACAAAATACTCTTTTATAGTGCCGAATGCCTAAAATAACAGAAATAATGGAAACTACTTCTTTATTCACGAGAAAGGTCAAACGTAAAATAAACACTAAATTCTCATCAAAGGTAAATGTTAGATGACATAAATATGCCTTTCAGTCTGAATGAACACCGATGATAATGTTAATGTATTGTCCTATGTCCAATTTTCCCAGTGGTACAAAACTTTGCTAGTGAACATGCAGTCAGCAGAAAGCTTGATAAATCCACTTCCTTTGATTTGTTCTGCATCTGCATGAAAGCAAACAGCTGTGGACTGGACCTGTTATCAGGATGGACTTAAAGGGACTTCAACCCCTGTTAGAGTTTCCATCAAACTTCATTGAAGGCTGAATCCAGCGATGAACCGCACTGTGGGACTTTCATCTAAAGAGCTATTTTAGGTCTCCTTATCTACTGCATTTTACAGCAAGGTTGTCATTTACTGACAACGCCGTGTGCGTCGTGACTTCAAACTGTGACTGCACTCCATATGTAAGAACGATTTTAACTGCCAGAGCAAGAAAAAGTAGCTGCGGATTCATCCCTATTATTAAGACAGCTGACTGCTGAACGGGTCTCGACTAAATGTAGTGGATTTTAAGAGCAGATGTTTTTTGTACATAAACTTTACAAATGGAGGCCAGGTTTTAAGAAATGTGGGATTATGCAAGTTTTCCCAGAAAGGTCCTTTGGACATGTGAGAGAGTGATGATTCAGTGGCTGTGCCCGCAGCGGCAGGAAGAGACCTTCCTCCTTCCTGTACGCGTATCTGCAGCATCAACACGTTCCATTAGACTACAATGTTTAAACACTGACCTCAGACCAACACAACTGGTGGCGGGTCATTAGATGGAAATTCATGCAGTTTATGTTGATAAGCAGAATGTAAATGATGGTGAATTTAAAGTCAAGACACAAAATCTGAGCGGGAGAATATGAAACACACCCACCCCCAGGAGGAAATGACAGTCCAGGAGAACGTGGGAAATGAGAGCGAGCCAAAGTCAGATGCATGACCTCCAAAAGCTGAGGGCAACATGGGAAAAACACTGACTGCAGTCTGGCATGTCAGTAGAGGCTCTTAAAACATCTGCATGGATATCTCGTACCACAGGCAGAAATCACACTGCAAACTGTTTCTTCTTCAGTTCCATGTGCTCACTGCCTTTGCCGGGATGAGTCATCCTCACAGCATGCCATGTGCACAGCGCACAGACCCAGATAACCCTGGGCGGCAGCACCGCTGCCTGGGGGCCGTGTGGATCCATGTCTCTGTCCCGTGGTTCCAAGCATTTAAAAAAAACTTGAAATTGTGCCACAAAGTTATTCATGGGGGAAACTTGATACAAAAAGTCGTAAAGAGTAACAGGTTCACCCATCTCTAACAACAAATTTAAATTTTATTTAAAAATGAAAAATATATATGGATGTTTATGTGAGGGAATGAGGATGATGGATGGTGGTGGGGGGGGCGTGGTGTCCTACCCTCACCCAGGCGTCTGTCAGATCCCAGCACATGCTGGCTATGAGATTCTAGTTTGTGGTCTCAGAGAACATTACCCACACTGCACTGCTTCTCTCTCTGCGGGTCTCGAGCCTGAACGTCGTTTACATGTTGGCCCCGAGTTCAGTATGTAGGCCAGGGATGCTCCACTCTCTACCTCTGCTTCACCTCCTCTCTCTCCCTCTCTCTCTTTGTCTCTCTCTCTCTCTCTCACTCTCTCTCTCACATTGTGACAATCCGTGACAGTGTTGTGCACACACCCCAGGACAGCATTGTCATTTTTGGCTCACGCTCCTCTCTGTGTGGCACTGCAATGACGTCAGGTCGTCTTCCTCACGCCCCTCTTCTTCCTCCGGTGCTTCTTAGTGTTACTGTCTGGAGAGTTAGACAGAGGTAATGTCACACCCCAAGAAAACAAGGTGGAAATGCAGACACAGACGCGGGCAGGAGACTCACAGCCAGCAAGGTAACTGGCAGCAGCATGAATCCAGTAACAGGCCACCAGCTGGGTGGAGAAATTTGCAGCTGCTCCTCCCTCACCCCTCTGCCCCGCCGCCCCTCCCTCTCTCCTCCCTCGCTCCTCTGCTCCTCCCTCTCTTTCCTCCCTCACCCCTCTGCCCCGCCGTCCCTCCCTCGCTCCTCTGCTCCTCCCTCTCTCTCCTCCTTCACCCCTCTGCCCCGCCGGCCCCTCTCTCTTCCCTCGCTCCTCTGCTCCTCCCTCTCTCTCCTCCTTCACCCCTCTGCCCCGCCGGCCCTCCCTCTCTCCTCCCTCGCTCCTCCCTCTCTCTCCTCCTTCACCCCTCTGCCCCGCCAGCCCTCCCTCTCTCCTCCCTTGCCCCTTTACTCATCTGAATGAATTGTGTTCATGTTTTTATCCAGTTTATTTGCAGACACCTTAATCCACAGCAACTTACCTCATGTAAAAAGAAGAGCCATCCTGTCAATACGGTGTCTGATGTTTGTGTAACGTGTGGATGTATGGTTGGTGAACTCACCATCGGTAAGCAGCTGGTCTGGCGTGACCTTGCTCTCCGGCGGCACCCAGACCTCCATGCGATCCTTCTGCTTCCTCCCAGCTCCTGGACTCTGCAACAGCCCAAGCAGAGTTTCTCAAAGGGATCACTGTCTGCCACGCGGGCTTAAAATTCAACTAGAAGCCCATGTCGGACACCAGAGAGCCAAGAGATTAAGGAGTTTCTTTAGAAGTCGGGGGGAAAGGGCTTAAAGTGACTCAATAAACAAAGAGACTCTGAAGTGCCGAGAGAGGGAGGCTCCTCCATCCAGCTAGAAGGCGGTCAGACCACGACAACCAGCAGCCACCAGAACACATGTAACTTTACAGAGAACAAGGTTTGCTGAAGTGACAGATATAGCTTGACATTAATGAGATGGTTTTTCCTCACATGTAAAATTATTCTTTTATATAATTTTCCATAAAAAGGAATGATTTAACTTGAACCTAGTCTAGGTGCTGTATGTGTCAAAGGTGTCCCTGTGCCCTGTAATAGACTGGCATGCCATGCAGGGTGTACCCAGTCCTGTAATAGACTGGCATGCCCTGTGACCTGCCCTGTACCCAGCCCTGTGCCCTGCCCTGTACCCAGCCCTGTACCCAGCCCTGTGACCTGCCCTGTACCCAGCCCTGTGACCTGCCCTGTACCCAGCCCTGTGACCTGCCCTGTACCCAGCCCTGTGACCTGCCCTGTAACCTGCCCTGTACCCAGCCCTGTAACCTGCCCTGTACCCAGCCCTGTGACCTGCCCTGTACCCTGCCTTGTCCTTGTGTGTTCATAGGATAGGTTCCAGGCCCTCATTACATCCTGTCCTGTAATTTATTTCTAAGGATAAGGACTTGTACTATGTAGCCATAGATAATGACGGGGGACGTCTGAGGAGAGCAGCCCACATGCCGGTGACTCACACCCACCTGGACCCCATTGTGAGGCAGCGTCATGCTGTCCCCCTGCCAGTTACCCCACTCCTCCCTGGGGGGTTTCCAATCCGAGGCCTGATCCATGTCCAGGGGGTCTTCTGTCAAGAAACACAAACCATCTACACTCCTCTCACAATGATATCAGTGTCTTGAGGGACACGGGTTCCCCCAAACGGGCTTCTAATGACAGACAAGCAACCAAGACAAGTGTGACAGTGGTGCCCCCTGCCAGTGCCTCCTTAGAATTACATCTAAAACAAAGGTAGCTAACAGTTTGCCACCAAGGTGACGTTAGATTACACAGCGCTATGCAGAGCAGATGACATCCCCTCAAGAGGGTCCATATCGAACCAACAGGGTATCGGGCGTAATCTGAGAAGATCCGAGACCAAAAAGTATACCTTTAGCAGAGCAAACTCATAAAGTGCCGAAATGCACTGGGTCAGCACACTGTGCCACTAATCACTAATTGTTGCTGCCATCCTTGCAGACAGTAACCCTGAAAGCTCCACAAAGTCCATTTCGTAGTGGTGTTGGAGCCACTGAGCAGCGGCAGCAGATAGCTGGCATGTCCTTTACCAGCCTGGCATTCAAGCAAAGGACACTGCTGGAGTTCACTCAGATCCCGCAGAGATGTGTCAGTTTAAGTGTCACACTGTTTTGTATCTGACCACACAGCAACGCTGACCCCTGCTGGGAAATGATGGTACTCCATGCTGAAGACACTGGGCGGTAGGATTAGGACAAAACCAGAATAGAACAGTTTAAAAGAAGCATTGGCATCTGGCACCCGCTGCTTGGTTGAGATGCTCAGCAGCTGTGCTGACATGTCTGCTGGATGAGAAGGATAGTCATGGGCGGAAGACGCTTCTCTGCGGCACTCTGGGAACATGCTTGCCTCACAAAGGAGTAAAGGAAGGGCACCAGGGATTGTGTCACTTTGCAGGCCATTACCTAAGCCTAGCCAGGCCTGCTCCATGTTCAGTGATGTCATCTGCATGCGCCACTTCCTGCTGGACGGACTGGGCTGTGGGGAGCTGTTGTCTAGGTAACCAGAGCAGAAACATCGCTACTGTTGAGCAGGGAACAAAGTAGAAATATGTCCTTAACTACGTTTCTCACCCATACAGTGCTTCAAAAACAGGAAAGTTTTAGGATGTGTGATGTTATGTACACAGTCCCACTCTATCATTGATTGATAAAATGACTGTATGTGCTGATATATTCTTAGCTTCATAAGCAGTGCTCTGGACCTTGGTGCCGTTAAACAGCAGCTGCTCAATATCTATGTGATGAGCGTTAGCACGGCAGCCTGAGCGTTTCTGTGTAGAGAGAAGCTCTCCACCCCCGATCTCTCACAGCTGATGTCGGGGACGGTCCCAAAGGTGACCCGCTCTGTCACTACATCCTTCAGGTTCCATGTGCCTGACGGAGGCACCAGACGAACAGTCAGGATGGTGCAATCAGCTCACCAGGCTACATGTGTCTTAGCGTCTTTCGTTCTCTCCAGGGCACTACCACTGACCTACGTGGGAGAAGATGTCATCCTCCAGCCCAGCAGGGGGTGCCCATTCCACTGCCTGCCGGCCCGTCTTCCCCAACTCATGGGGTCTGGAGTCCCTGCGAGGCCCAGTGCTTAGGGAGTTCACACTGTCCACCAGGGGGCGGGCTTTCCTGCTCTGCAGTCCAGGGGCCTCTGACACAGTTGGGTCCGGCCTGCTGCTTCCTTGGGAAGCAGACAGAGGTTCAGATATAAACCATGACAGAGACTTCAGTGACTGAAGCTGGACATGCCCCCTGCTTAGAGGACATGCCCCTGCTCAAGGGGCATGCCTCCTGCTCCCAGGGCACCCCCCCACTCAAACATATACACACAAACCAACTTACAGGACACGCCCCCTGTTTCATGGGACACGCCCCCTGCTCACACATCCCTCGTTCATTCACAGCTCAGCCCTCCAGCACACAAATATGCAGATCAGCACATTTCCAGTCCCTCACCCTTCCTCTTCATCCGCTCCTTCCTCAGCTGCCTCTTCTCCTTGCTGCTCATCTTCCTCTCCCACTTCCCTTTAAACAGAAAGGCACAAATCTGACAGGATCTCGGCAGCCCCCCCGGGGCCATTTTCCTCGCAGCCACACATACCAGAGTCTTCCTCCTCACTGAGCTCCATGGAGGAAGAGCGATCCTTTGGCAGAAAAGTGCTCCTCTCCTCATCATCAGTCTTCACCTTCTTTTTCTTAGGCTACGGACAAACAAAACATTGACACAGATTAATACAGACGATGTAAACGCGGTTGGAAACAAACCTGGGGCGTCTGCATATACCCTAAATGCCCTGCTGTCCTGCATCCTGCTGTCCTGCATCCTGCTGCTCTCCGCGTCGGCGTCCTCAGGTGAGGCCATGCGGGCCGCTCCGTTCAGCTGGTCCGGCTAACGGACAGTGACATGGGGACACCACAAAAAACAGCCATCATTTCACACACGTTAACTTGTCGGGAGCTCACCGAGACTCAGTGGGGCGCCCCCTGTCGCACCTAACCGGGATAAGAAGATGCATGTCTAACAATAGCATATTTATATAGCGGACAGGTTTCTTCTATTTCGAGAAGGTGGGGTCAGACTGAGGGCAACTGGCGGGTTAACAAGAGCACAAAGAGCGTTAGCGTTCACAGAGACCTGCCCCCCCTCTGCTGGCTAACAGCGGCCGGCGGAGCCCGGGGCCGCGGCAGGGACCCACCGGGAAGCGGCCTATTTGCCCGTCAGCATGTCACACGCGGTGTCCCGCCCCCACAAGCCCCAGGTAAATGCAGAAAGTAATGAACTAGCAGCAAACGGAAATCTGCCTGAAAACGCGTTTCTCGTACGCTAATAAACATTAAGGACATCAGTTTTAGTTGTAAGCCCCAGTCAGTGTGATTTCCTGCTGTTGTTTCCCATGCAGGATCCAGTAAGCAAACTGGTAAATTACAGGCACGTAAATAACAGATGTGACGTACTGCGTCCTTCTCTTTCCTCTTTCTCTTCGTCGGCTCCTGTCCGTCTCTTCTCCCAGACACTGGGAAAGTGGATATTTGCCAGCTGTCCCCGACTGGGACTTTGTCCGTGGGGCCTCCACGCAGCTTTCTGGTGCCGATCCAGAGCACGCCGAGAAGAAGCGCGCCGCCGAGCAGCGCCGACAGCAGCCGCGGCAGGTCGGCCAGCTGCAGGCAGGCAGCGGCCAGCGAACGCACCGTCAGCTCCGGCATGCTCCAGGCACAAGCGCGTCTCTCACGTCCTCTTGCGCTTAAAAACCTTAAAATCGAATACTCTTTTAAATATTTTTTTTTCTATTTTCCCCCGGTATTATTTCACGTCCAAATCAACAGACTTTCACCTATAATAAAGGGCGTGTGACGCGCGCTAGAAGAGAGAAGTGCGCAGATACAACCGAGAAGATGACGATGGCCATCAAAGTCAGCTCTGGTGTCGCCTTCCCAATCTCCTCTCCTCCATTGCTTTGATTTCCAGCGATTAATGCCCCGGGCTCCTAGTTTTCACCGGGTCACCAAGGGAAAAACGCACTGGATTTGCAAATCAAATAATTAATTTCGGAGAATAAACCTCGTTTCCTGAAAATGTCCTAAATAGTACAAATAAGGAGTCGAAGGCCGTTTTCTTTCCGTGTGATGCTTTGGGGAGCTCGTTCTCTCAGCGCCGCCGCCTTTGGTCCAGATTCAAGCAGCGCATCCTTCCTTTGTCCGGCTGATTACATCTCATCCCGGGTGCGAGTACCGCCACCGCCGCTAGGTGGCAGGAGAGACGCGAAAACGCCGTGTGGTCCAATAGGTGCCCGTAATTATGAATATGAGGCCTTTTGACCTGCAGGCCAGTGTGGACGAATATGGATCGACGCAATAATCCTGTTCACTTGAATTAATAATGATTTGAGGCTACTGTACTTCGGGTAGCTGAGAAAAAGTCTTCTTTTATGAATTTACCAATTTCAAACAATGTGCTTTGAGTAAAACATATTCCCTACAGGGTGTGAACTAAAAGACACGTAACATACGTGTCATGATTGTGAACGATGAGGTTGACTACTGTGGTCTGTTACACATGAAAGATAAAGTCACACCAGCACCAACAAAAAGTAGTTCTCCTTTTGGACTTTAATTCCTGCCTGATAGCGGCCCCTTCAGGCAGCTCTCTAGACGGCTGCAAAAAGACCAATTGAGTGAGCATCTCGGTAGAGGGGTCCTTCAGGCTGGTTCCCACTAGGGCGGTGAGAGCACAGGCCGTGAAAAGGTTAGGAGTGCCGCGAACGGACTGAGCAGGGCCGGCTTCAGAGGAAAGCCAGGAGTTCCCACTTGGCAGGTGTGGCTGTTTGCCTGAAGGGCCGACTGCATCCCGGAAAGTGTATCCCAGCCGGTTCTCATCCTGCTGGGGCAGTTCTGTTCCCCATGGACAAAAACACCTGAGCAGCACAGACCTGAAGGTGTGACAGGACAGGAGAATTCGGCCCTGAGGCCTGACCCACAGTCACACCAAACCAAAGTTCAGATTTCTCTTCCCGGCAGAATTGTGCAATAGCGCTTTTGTGAGCATCGCAAAAGCAACAGCGCTGCAGGTTCATTAGCAGTGCAATAAACACGACACACACACCTGCCTTTTGTGGGGAGAATATTTTGCAATTTCAGCCCTCACACACACTAAGGCTGCAAACATGTCCAGAATGAACGCCTTGACGTCAGGTGGGCAGCAGGATTAGGTGCTTGTTTGGAAATTTCGGGTGGTGTCCTGAGAGTAGAGGAGGAACATCTCTCCTGTGCTTTTGGTCTCCAGCAGTCTGTCCACAAATCGAGGTCCTTAACGACTGTGTCACCTGCTGTCCACATGGGACCCCCCTCCCCCCTTTCAGTAACCTTTCTTACATCTTACAGCAGGCCAGTAAAGTGATACTTTTGACCTCAATCACATCTTGATGAGTTTTGACCTTTGGGCCGATTTTCACAGCCACAGAAGAGAAACATTATGCCCTTCATGCCGGCTTCTTAAAATGCAACAGCAACTTAATCGGCAATTACAGTTTATTAATGACAGACCTTGTGAGAGTCCAGTGCTGTTTTTCTGAGGAATAATGAGGAAGTTCTGCTTCGTGAGGTTTGTTCACTCAGCTCTTTTCTTCCTTTTCATTTACTTTGAGGCTGATTTCATCATGTATGCCTGGAAAAATAATTAGACGTTCACATTGAAACTGCCCCATATGTTTATAGTTACTCTGACGAATTGTGCTTACTGTTGATGTCCACCGCCCATAACATGCTATTTATAAACATTTATGACCTTCACACAGTTTTCTTCTCTGAAACAGCAGAGGATGTTAATTTATCCATAAAGGTTAAGCAGAATAACGTATGTATAACAGACATTCCTCAGTCTCTGTGTTTGTTTTACTTTTCCAGAGGATTCTGGGTAAAAGCTGGATAAAAGTTTCAGGACTGGAAAAAAACAGGTTTGCTCTTGATTAGTGGGAGTTTGTTCTTGTTTGCTCTTCTTCACCCACGGTATGATGTCACTTCCTGTGCCGTGTACCGCAGCCCCACTGTATCAGAAATGTGAGTCATAACAGACAATTCTGCCACTAATCAGTGGTGCCCCCACATTGAAGGGCTTCAGCAAAATAGAGGACAGAAAGTCACTGCCTCTTTGTGAAAAGTATGACGAGAGGAGCACAGGGAAGCAGGCCTGACTTGCATTGACCCTGCGCCAGGCGGCTCTCTGATGCTGGCTGGGACTGGGTGGTCGCTATCTGCTCCTTATCATGACGCGTCCTGGTGCTGACAAACCAACAGACTGCGGTCCTGGCCTCCCCACACACCGGTGACATGCTGGACATCCCCTCTCTGCCACACGATGACAGCGCCAGCGCTGGGAACAAGATTAGCGGGCCCTCAAAGTGCCCAGCAGCCCGTATCGATGACCGTGCCAAAAGACCCACATGTGGTGGAGCCGGTGTCACCGGGAGACACCGCAGTCCTGCGTGTGATGATGCAGGACGAGGCAGGACCTGCTGCTGGAAGCCTGCAGAGCATCTAACTGTAAGCTCATCAAAACTACACTGTATGTCTCCTCTGCAAAGCTGCTTGTTATATCACCTACATCTATAGCTATTATTTGTACAATTTTATGTATATTCCTGCCTCTACTTTACTTTTGTTCTATGTACTGATTTATACTTTTTGTCTTGATTGTCTGTTTAATTGTTCCCTTCTTGCAACCTCGTGCAATATAAACCTAATCCACACGACCGTATGATCCATACGACCGTTTCATCCACACGACCGTGTGATCCACACAATGCTAACCTGGCTCTCTGCGATGTCCTCATTTCCCACAAAAGAAGGAGAGTGTATGGTAGGGTGGAGACCCAGCTGGTGTCTCAAGGAGCATCTCAGTAATTCCTCACCCTTCCCTGGAAGAAACTTGCTCTTCATGTTAGGCGAACGCTTGTTAAACACGCCTCTCCCGTCATCGCCTGTCGTTTGAGTAAATAAGGGAGGGAGGGAATGTCCAGCAAGGCAGCTGTGGGGCACATCAGCCGCCCCCCCTCCCCCAAGCCTTCAGACAGAGGAAATCAATGATTAATGAATACTTCATCTCTGATCAGGGACCAAAGTGTATTGTTCAGGTCTGAGGAACAGCCCAGGGGCACGGAAATGAAATCTGGGTCAGTCCTGAGACAGTTACCCCCTAATGGGTCGAATCCCACTACTACTCAGTGTGTAGAGTTTGTGTGTAATAAAATCAGCATCACAGTTACTGAATGAATACTTGAGGAGAATGCAAAATGGTCCTGAAAGATACCCCCCCACACACACCATGATCCTGGGGGGTTGGATTCAATCAAAGCTGGCCATCACAGAGGACTGGAACAGAGCACCAAGTCCATTAGCAACAACAATGAAATTCTGGCATTCTGCTGGAAAACACATAAGGCTGCTTGGCTCTCACTACAGGCCATTCTAAATGTTGTTTTCCTCATTGTCTTTCTTGTTTTTAGTGTTTTGTAATTATGAGGTGTTATTCGGTGACAGATACCGCTGGCTCGTAGAAGGAGGGCACGTCTTGCTTTTCTGTAACGTTAAACTTGATGTTAACATTAAAGTCTGCCCCACTTCACTTCACTTTCCCATCTTTGAGCTCCAGATCCTGTGGGTGGGCAAAGAATGGGGCTTTTGTGCTGGGGGGGGGGGGTATGAAATCCAGAAGAAAAAACAGACGGATCGGCTGTGCCAGACACACACAGGAGTGCAGACTGAAAAATGTAATCCCAGAATGCATTGCATGTATGCCCCCTCCCCCCCAGCAGAAAGTCCAGGTGTGTGTTTCACCAGGTTGTGTGTTATGAAAGGTTGACAGCAGCCACGGTAAGGGGCGATGGGGGGCAGTGACGACAGACACCCGACCAGCGATTCCTACAGCACCCCTCCCTCACCCCTCCCACTTTTTCTCCACTCTTGGATTCTGTGCATTCCTGAGATAATGGAATTCATTATCCTTGAAGGAAGTGTTCTCCTGCAAAGGTAATTCAAGGGGCTCTAAGAGGCCACCCCAATTCCCACCCCCACCCCACAAGGCTGCATCGGCATGTTCCTCTGACTCACACGTGAAGTATGAAGACCGAGCCACACGCCCTAAGGAGACGGGGGTGGAAAGGCGTCTTTGTCCAGCCGCAGCCTTAATCACACTTCTTTGGTGCAGTTGGATCGCTGTGAACTGAAGTTTTGACAGAATCTGGAGAGCCAGCTGCTCTGGGTCTGATACACCCGTTTGGAGGCCAGCTCAGACCCGGCCATACCGGCTGTGATGGACTGAAGGCTGTGGGTTGCAGGATGGAGAGTGGTGTCCCCTGGCTGTGGAGGAAGGTGGGTTTCTAGGGAGAAACGACCTCAGCCAGTGGGATGAAGTGCTCCACGATATCAACCACAAAAGGCATTATTTCCCAAATATGTGCATCTTAAAACCCTCCATATTTCCTCCTCCTTGTTTACTAACATCTCAGCTCTTTCTGAAAAATAGCTTTTCTGCGACCAGCTCAGAGACGTCAGATTCACCCGATATTATTTGTTCCCTCAAAGGGATTCAGAGGCTGTCCCCAGACTTCCAGAAGCACTTCCCAAGCCTCGGATGCACTCCTCGTCCCAGTCAGTGCGGGGGGTGTGGCCAGCTCCGGGCATGTCTGGACGGGAGCACCTCAGCACTAAGATCTGTATGTGCTGGGGGGCCTGCAGATCAGATCTGCACCGGTGGAGATCACGCAAGAAAATGGGCACATCAGCACACAGCAGGTTCCTGCTAGCGGCCGTCTGGCCGTCTTGTCCTTATCTGCACTCTGGCTGATGAAATGAAGCGATGTTTTTATTCGCCGTTTGCATGAGTACACCGGAATTCTTTAGTTTTTTTGCATATCCCATCTTGCTCTCCTCTAAGACATACGTACCAATGTAGCTGAGAGAAAGCTTGAGGTCTAAGCTCAGCGTCAGCCATTTATCGGGGTTGAAGGCCTTGATCAAGGGCCCAACAGAGACATGATTATTCCAGGAGATGGGATTCAAACCAGCAATCACCATCATCGCCATGCCAGCATACGTAAAATGATTGGCGCAGACCGTGGGTGACAGGAAGCCAGGAGCGAGCAGCAGCCTCTTGTTCCAGATGTTTGCGGCTATGAGGATCATGGCTTCTGATGTCCCACAGCAAGAGACTCAGGAGCTTTGACATCAAGCAAAAGCCCTGACTGGCAGCTCACGCTCCCCCCACTCCCCGTCACTGTGTTTTATCTTCTGTCACCAGCAAACTGCTGAGCTCCAGCCCCCTCTAAATCACACTGATCTCACACACATGCCCCCATCTTGTGTTCTGGGCAGTAAATTCCAGGCGGGGCTCGGGGTTAGTTCTTAAGGAACTAGTTATCCAAAAAACCCTGCTAGGTTTTGTCTCAAGTTGAAACAAAAGAGAAATCAAAAACAGTCACTGGCCAGTGGAGCGTGTCGTGATATGAGACGCGGGAAAACTCTCACTATAATCACTGCCTGCTTCGGATCTGCTGGGGAAGCGGTATAGGAACGCCGGTGCCATTACCCAGACTGCGTGTGTGTGTCTGTGTGTGGGGATTAATGTTTATATTACATTGTGGGGACCAAATGTCCCCACAATGTAATAAGAACCTGTTTTGGTTTTTTTTTTTTTTACATTGTGGGGACCATTTTGCAGGTCCTCACAAAGATCGGTGAATGCAATCAAAAAAGTAAAAATGCCTCATATTTAAAGCCTTATATTTTACTTGATTACTTACGGTTAAGGATAGTGCCGGGTAGGTGATAAGAAATGAATGAAGAGTCCCCACAAAGATATAATTACAAACCCGTGTGTGTGCACGTGTCTGTGTATGTGGGGGTACATATGAGGACGGGGTGGGATGGCTGTTCACCCTGTGTCTGTCATCTATTTGTGCATAAATGTACTTGACCAAGCTTTACAGTTAACTCTCTGGTGCCAGGAAGACTGTGAAACGGTATTTTACAGCCCTTTGTGAACCACCAGTCCCCCCCCCCAGATGAAAGCACATGTCGGGAGGCAGCCATCCTGGGTGTTTCATCTCTCCTTTATTATCGAAGGGTGCAAGAGAGACACCCCCATATGAACCCCCCCACTTGAAAACCACACCAGTGCATCTGGAAATAACAGAAGACGATTAAAAAAAACAAAACTGATGGATGACAAGGGAAAAAAAAGAAAAAGCCTCAAAACTGAGCTGTCAAGTGCTTAAGAAATGTGAGGTCTGCTTCCCATGCTCTTGCTGGTGGTCTGCGGGGGTAGGTATAGGGCCCCCCTCCCTCGTTCAACCCCAGTACAGGCAGCTCTTATCAGGCAACGGGACCGAAGGGAAGAGCTGTGTGAACTCAGAACAAAGCCGGAGATGACAGTCTCACTCAGAACAAGGCCGGAGATGACTCACATGAGGTAGCCACTTAATGTCGGCTATGGCTGATCTGCCTACATCTCTCTGGGTCCCACATTACAGCTGAGCCCCAGTGGCCTGGCATCCGCAGGAATTAGCTTCATCACGTCCAGCAGGGGGCGACATGAAGGGCCGCGGCTCAGTGTGAACAGAAGTACATCTGTCCTTGGCATTTTTTGGTGACCACAGATGGAAACACAGTGGGAGGACATACAAAATGGGCAGAATGTGTTTGCATTTAGACCCCAGCAAGTCCGGAATGAGACACTGAACAGGGATGCCAGCAGCACAAGCTGAATGTTGCATGTTTGGGGGTAGTGACCACAATATATAGCCCCCTCCCCCGCTGAGGTGGGGCACACAGGGGCGAGGCAAGGACATGACACATGATTCAGGTGAGTTGTCACAAGACGGATTTGGGGTGCTGAGTCAGGGGGGACTGCTACTGGAGAAGTGTGCTCATGTTTAGACCTGCCTTGCTTCGCTGGCCCAGAGGAGTGGCCGCACCCTGCGCTTTGTGATGGGGGGGAACAACAGCCCCCACCCAAGAGGGACATGCCCAGCGTCATGCATCGCGAGCCAACACTGGCAGCCATGATGATGGAGTAAGCCTCCAGGGCCTACAATCCACACAGTAGAGTTTAATCCTCAAACCCACATGTGGGCACAGATTTTAGGAATAAGACGACGCTCCCAAGGTCTTGGGAGGTGGATTTGGGCAGAACTGTCCACATATCCCATAATATTCAGACAGAGCTATAGATTTAGTTGTCTGTCTGTGTGTTGTACCTTGCTGTGTCAAGTAGGAATGGAGTACTTGGTGGGGGCAAGGGGGGGAGGGTGTGGGTTTGTAGTCCAGCTCCACCCCCCATAACTCTACTCTGAACCCAGCTTCCTGCTCAAAGGTCAAAGGTCAGCAGACCTGGACAGGATGCAGGCAGCAGGCTGGCATCCTTGGCCTTGACTGGGCAACTCCGACACACTCCCATCCGCATTATTTTCCTTCTGGCACCTTCTGCATGCAGGACCTGCCTGGCATGATGGAGATTCCTCAGGCACAGACAGGAGATGGAAATCTGACCGATAAGTACATTCCTACGGCAACATGCACACACTTAGGAATACCAGTTGCTCAAGGGGACGTGAGGTGGATCTGTCTGATGGCTGAAGAGGGTGTCTGACTGCTGAGGAAGGTATCTGATGGCTGAAGAGGGTGTCTGCTTGCTGAAGAGGGCATCTGCTGAAGATGGCTTCTGATTGCTGAAGAGGGCATCTGCTGAAGATGGCATCTGATTGCTGAAGACAGCATC